GACAAAAAGTGGAATAATTGAGATCAAAACCTAGCTTTAAATTGTACTTTGGGGTTGAGATGATATCACACTAGCTGAAAACAAAGAAACGAACAGCATAAACAGCTACGTGTGGACGTATTGATGTCCGTTTGGGCGCCGACCTTCCTCCGCAGGTGGAAGGAGAACTACTTCGTGGCGAGGGGCGACTGGGCCCGCGTCGCCCGGGCGTACTGCACCCTGTGCGAGCGCCTGCACACGGACACGACCCCCAAGGTGTACGACCTCTTCGACTGGTTCGTGAGCAAGTCCCACTGCCTGTCCCGCTCGTCGCCCCGCGTCAGGGCCTTCATCGGCGGGTACAGATACTCCCATTACATCGCCTTTCTTGTCTCTGTCGTGGTCCTCGCGGCTGTCGTCTTCGCTTTTGTCCTGACCGTGATTGTGGCCGAGTTCTTCCGCGCCCAGGGACGCCCCTCGCTGTCGCGGCGCCTGGCCAGGAGGGGATGCGTCTAGCCCGGCCGGGAGGGGGGGGGCGCCCCAACGCATTTGCTCAAAAGTGTCTTACGTGTACATGTCTGTGCACGCGCGGGTATAGTGTAGCTGCTCTTGCATGTACACTTATTTTCTCAAACTCAGTGATAAACAGTACGTGTGTTTTGCATAATTAACAAGTATAATTTCTCTCTACATTTGTTTATCAATCAATGCAGCCTAGGCGATCGACCACATACTCGTTAGCACTCGTTGGAGGATCCTCCAGAACTGCAGGGTGTACAGGAATGCCGAGTTCTGTGGTACTGACCATGGATTGGTTGCGGCTGCCCTCCGGGTCCACTTCAAAACCCCCCAGCGGACCAATGATCACCCCAGGGTATTTCCTTTGGACAGGCTGAGGGAGGGGGAGTGTGCCCGCGGGTTTGCTGAGGCAATCTCTGGTCGTTTCACAGCGCTCGACAATCTGACGGAGCCTGTCCTTCTGTGGGACACCTTCAAGTGAGAAACGCTCGATGCAGCCCAAGAGTCGATTGGTGAACGCCCGAGAGCAAGACAGAATTTCATCTCGCAGACTCTGGAAGCCACAGATGCATGTCGTGCGGCTCGTCTGACAGGGGATCGGGATTTGCACCATTCTCACGTGCGCAGAACTCGGTCGCTGTTAAGAAGGGACAAGGAACAGTTTA